AGCCCTGTAGCTTTTGCCGGTCTCGAGATGAAAAATCGGTACAGAGGCCCTGCGCACACACAGACATACAGACACAGACACACACACATACAGACAACCTCTCGTCATTATGCGTTTTTCGCATTGCATTGCTACAAAAAACGCATAAAAACAGAGTGCTTAAATAATTTGTTAGATCCTCACTTTGGATTAGAAGATTCTGGTGCGGCATACATCGGCAATTGCGTGCGCTTGTTTATGTTTGGAGCAACCTCTTGAGCACCTGTTAATCCGGTCAAGCGACCAATCATGTTGTGATCAACGAGAATATTATCGGTACAGACTGCTCCGTGGTAAATGGACTGCCTGTAGAGTATTAACAAAAATTTGCTTCTTTTTCCTTTTATCAATCGAAATAACAAAGAATGTCCAAAGGGTAAGGTGTGGGATTCCATGTTGCTGGTACGTATCCGGACTTTGGATGGCAGCCGTGTCAGATTCCTCTGCCATGCATGTTTTTCAATAGGCTCACCTTTTTGGAGGCAGCCCGAGTGGTCGTTTATTTTTTCGCTGGTGCGTGTTATGTGGTAAAAAAATAAAAAATGTTACGAATGTAGGAAAAAGAGGGCAGTAGCGACTCCACGTAGAATTTTGGCTATGTGCTGTCGATGCATTGGTACAGTGCCATTTGCAACGATAAGCTTCTCAAGTGTGCCGTGCTCGCAGTACTCCATCACCAGCAAATTGGTACTTGACTGAAAAACAGCTCTACAGAGTGCGAACTGAGAATAAAACATCCAATCTGAACTTTTTTGTCAATTCTATGAACCAACAGATGCTAATCATTGCAGATACCCCGTGCTGGTGATATTATTGGGATAAATTACTAATAAAATGCCTTTTCTTCAAGCATTTAATTTACTTCTAAGACTGAAGCAGACTCTGTGGGCCATCCTTATGATTATATTTCATTATTAACTGTAACCATCATGTGGCAGAATCCTAAAAAGTTCACAGGAATATTTAATTAAAAGGAAAAAGGAGAAACCATGTGATGATAACAGTGATGGACGAGAATTGGTAGACATGCGTCTTCCAGAGTTCCATTTTCCCGTAATTTTTTCGCCTGCAAGAAGAAATTTAGTCCGGATGCTTCTGCAAAAATTCGCCACTGAATCTTGCGTCTTTTCATCTCACTTTAATGTGAAAGCGTATAGACCAGTTAGCTGATACACACATGCTTTTCCCAGCTGATCGCTGATTATTCAAGATGACGCAAAAGAAACCTGGAGAAGCAGCGATGTTTCGAGGCCACCACCAGGAGATACCTTAGCGATATAACGGCGCCCTGTCTTCGAGTACACCGGGTAAACGCTACAAGAGTGATATTGTCAATGATTGCTTTAGACATTTTGTATAATTTTTTATCGATTACTAAGGGAGAAGTGGCTTATTCAGCTCTTTAACACTGCTATGTTAAAAATACTGATGTGTGGAGGCAAAATGTGATGTTGACGAAAGTGGAAGAGCAAACGCTGAGTATAAAAAGGAAGCAATGGAGCAAAGGATGCTTCGCGACTTGTGTAAGTGATGACTTGTGTAAGTGTAAGCTCCACTCGACGAGGTATCGCTGCGACTGCAACTATAAGCTAAATCTGTTATAATAAGAATGTTGATAGTGCTGCTGACAAACAATGAGTATCACGAGTCCATGGTAACTCCAAGAAGATAATTATTTGAATGACAGCCATCGAAAAGCTGGCGCACATAGCTTAGCCAGTCACGTAATACTTGAGCTCCGCATGCGAGGTAGGAAGTTCAGGACCGTCGAACAACCTAGCAAGCTTACGCCCACAAAGTTTCAGAATCATCTGTGTTTGGTACTTCACTTTGTTCGCAGTTATGGTTTGGCAATAGCAGTAACAAACTCAGATCAAAACCCTCAGCGACTGCGATGTTTTCTTTCTAATCTTAACAAAAAAAAAAATTTTTTTTCTTTGCGTTGTCATTCCCATTTCATCTAACTTCTCAAGACAAAAAAAAGTAATTGGCCAACGCATGGGCTGCGCGTGCGAAAATGCGTTTTTTGCACAGCTCTCCGCAGTTTTTGTCGCTACCGGCATCGGTTTTTTCGGCAAATGCTTCTAGCTAAACAAATTAA